CCATATAGGTGAGTTCAACCGATTTACTGCTCTTCCGATTTGCTTAGTAAAACCAGGCAATCTTGTGAACTCCACCTTAGTATAATCAAATCGCTTCGGTACAAAGGTATCGAGGTCACCGGCGTGTGCTTTCAGGCTTATGTCCTCTGATTGAGTTGGTGGTGATAATACATCTGATATAACAATAGATGCGTCTGCAAATGATGAGGTGGGACTTGATGGTGAGTGTAGTGGTGACTCAACCACCACTACCTCATTTTTAGGTCTTTCAGGATGACGTCTTGAGGCTCGATTGCTTGCCATGGCGGTATACCACTGTTCATGATTGATGGTACTTGGCTTCAGGACGGGCTTATTATGAGCAAGAGCATAGCACAATGATGACATGATGAAATGCGGTGTGATAAGGCAAGTTTGGCATATGTGATGAGAGGTGGCAGATATGCTCACAATTGGCCTAAGCATTAAGCCACCACTATATAATTGGATCATCCGGATGGATTATCCAAATCCACCGCCCAATTTGGATTGTGGCTTATTGGATAAATCCGAATGGATCTATCCAATTAGATCCACCCAATCAGCACACTGTAATATATGTATCTGGTCCAACACGCTGTTGGAGCAGTAATAATGCTGCAGTATGCATTCCAGCAACCATTAATGGATAGCTACGGCTATCTATGCATAGCAGCCAGTTTTCTAGAGCCTCCTCTTCTAAGATGGTGAGTTTATGGCGATTTGCGCGTAGATCGACGCGTACAACACATCCTTAGATACGAGCACTGAGATTTGTTCGAGGTATATTATAGAGGCGTGCAGCGTCAGATATTTTTCAAATTTGCTTAGATTTGATTGCATGGACTGCAAGAATAATTCTGCCTTCTTTTTCAAGCTGTAATTGCAATTATGGTGAAGCCATTAAATAAGTAAAATGATGTGTTCGATGAGGCATGAAAAAGATGACCGCTCGATGGTGGTGACCGCTCGATGGTGGTGACCGCTCGATGGTGGATTACGTTAGCAAAGCAAGAATGTGTTTACTCAATGTTTCGAAGATCCGGCAGTAATCGAGTCAAATCTAGCATAAATCGATTGCAGCAAGATTATGATGTTTCTTGATTGTGTCATCATGGCGATGCTACGAGGTCAGATTTCATCATTTCAGGCTCGCCTTAGCACAACGTTACTGTAACTTAGCTAAACTGAGCTAACTTAGCATGATATATCTCTGCTTAGAATCACTGTTAAAATGGAGATTTTGGTTGATGTCTTGAGTGACTATAGCTGGTCTTTTCACTACCGTCCTCAGTGATGTTAGGAATACTTTCCCAGTACCGACTAGCTTCACTAATGTAAGCCACTTCGAAAGGGTTTAGCTTCCTAGAGCAAAGGAACAAGGTATAACCAGAGCTTATTACGGAAGGAATATAATAAGATAGTTATGTTTATGACTTAGAATAGTATGAGCTTCAAGAGTATAGGAATGTATTCAAACTAACTACTAGATAAACTAGACAGTTGAATCACGAAGAGGTGTAATACCGGTAGAGACAGGATGTTTATATAGACCTAATCTTTAGTGTTCTCGTTGCCTTACTCATTCTGCTCATTCTGCTCAAAATGAGCAGAATGATCACTTCCACCAATCAGCGACACCCCGGCCGTCAACCATTGGTTGATGCGCTCATTTTGCTCATTTTGAGCAAAATGATCAGAATCGTACCCACGTGACTATTCACGTGTTACCTCGTAACAAGCGAGTAGGGTCTGTATCGTAAAAATTTCTCTCTCAGCTGGTCTTGCTATAGCACCCATAGTGCGAAAATTGAGGAGATGGTGTAAAGTGCTCTATTTAGGACCTTAATGTGTAGAGCCCTTCTGCTGACTGAAGAGACCATCCTTGATATCTCTTAATCCAAGCCAGAGCAACAGCACAAACGCAGAAATTGTGAATGGCCGAACATGCTCTGTGCTTTATAGCATATGAAAAAGATAGAGGTCGATCCTAAGTGTGATGGATGACAAGGTAGGCGTATTGCAAGATGGTAAACTGTGTATAGTCAGGTAGAGGTTAATGCTGTCAACTAAGAAATCCGATTTGTCTAAGGGCTCTGCACAGAATACCTAACTTATACACCAGTGTGACTTGGCGCACGTCGGTAGCATGCCTGCCAGTCTTGGTACGTCTGTGTTCCCCTTACACTGAGCGCGTGTACATGGTAACGTTACATGAATGCTCGATTGAAAGGTGTGTTTTACGCCAGCTCTGTACAAAACCATACCAGCCTAAAGTTTGGGTGATGGAGGCCGTGGTGGTTCGTGTTGGGACGAGTCCAGTGTCTTAACGAGACTGATTCAATTGCAATTGCACAACGGATTATAGCAGATCCAGTAGATGCCTACGTACATAGATACTAGCTGGATAGTGTAGTAATGTACTCGGCGACATGATACTTGAAGAAAGTGCAGGCACTTGTATCCACAGCGATTAGGTTAAACAGAACATTGGACTCGGATGGGACAAAAGATATCCTCTTCAAGCCGGAAGGCTTTGAATTGGCTAATTTCAAAGAGGCGTAAGCTCGATTGTAGCATTTGTAATCCAAAATATGTTGCCAGATGCACACAGAGGGAGATCTTGTCGAAACTCCGCACCTGCAGACCTTTGAGAGCACCTGCATCATCGCAGCATTTGTCTGCATGTTCTGGGCTGCACCTGCAAACAGCACAACATATGAAGTAACTTATTCTGCGCAATTCATCATTTGGGCCGCCTCTTTTTGTCCCTTCCGATTCGGTGCGCATTGAATGGATGACGTGCATGCGTAATTGTTAAATCAACGTTGGCCAGTGGAGAGACTCCGTCGCGTAAGAGTGCGAGAATCTGTCCAGTTAAGCTGAGAGATCACATGTGCAGCTAATTCGTTCGACGGCATGGAAAGGTATGCAAATCCAGACTTGGAGTTCCATCCTCGGCACTTAACGTGCAGTGCTTTCGTAAAGGAGTAGGTGAAGTAGGGGAGTGAGAGTCCAGGTTCCGGATGAAGGCGTCTCCGCAAGTGTAGTCCAGAAGCGCACAGAGAAGTGGCGGCATAGTCTTACCAAGTTAGGTCATGAATATTGTCATAGCTCGAGGGCAGCCAACAGCATTCATACGTGATCGCGCATGCCTAGATGAAAAAAAGGGTATTGGATCTGTATAGCTCATGAAGATAATGACAAATGAGCATTGACAATTGGCGTGGAAGTCTCCTGCCTCCCTGGCGGGACACAGCGTAACTGCTGTTAGCTGGGAAACTTGTAGTTGCCGTCTTATGAGAACGTGCGAGCCAACGAAAAGGACATGAGTTTAAGGGTAGCAGATACCAGCTGTGGCGAGGATCTAGTGACGATAGGGCTATGCACAAGAGGTCTATGTCACTTGGGTCCTTGTGAATCCAAGGCGTACTTTTTCTCTCCGGTCCGATGGGTCTGCGGGGGTATTGGCCCAAGTTTTGCTCCTAGTCTGAGGCCGCTGTGAGAAGCAGGGAAGTTTGGCAGAGCGCTGAGAAGCCAAACCACGGATGTGGTATTGCGTGGTGTCGTTGGAGGCGTTAAGCCCAGGTAGCAATGCGTAATTTTGCCGCTGCCAGGAATTTGCATGCAATCACATAGACATTTTGGCACTGTAATCTGAAGCAGTGCATTGAGTCTGGAAGATCGCCTTATCATTCGATGAAGATAGAAAAGGGGAGCGGTGTCAAGTGAGAGCAGATAGATGTATTCAGCGGACACGAACCTGTAACGTAACTTACGATACAAAGTAGAGATTAGAGCGGGTTCGGGGTGGGCTCCGACGCAGATCAGACGCGGTGACGGGGACGAATTACGCGAAAGGTTTGCTTCTGGGGCGGGGAGCGATTAGACTGACAAGAGAGAAGGACAATATTGGGGTTTGGATGCGGTGGTTTTCGGGCGCGAGGCCTTGGACGTGGGCGCAACTGGCCAATCCTCCACGCGAACGAGACCACGAGGAAAGGCAAGCGATGGCAAGCCAGGCGTGGCACGAATGACGATGCGGCCCTGAGCGGCGAGCTTTGGCGTATGGGGCCACAGGACCATTTGCGGTCCGTGGAGACGAAACTGTCAAGGAGTATTGACAGAGGCACTCCGTGCTCTGACGGAGGAAGAGAACGGAGGGGATCATTGCTCGAAGAACACGTTGGCGACCTGACAGACGCAGCCTGTGTGATGACTTAGCGCGGTCGCATGAGCGGGAGCGATTGGGCGCGCGCGTCATTGAGCTCACCTTTCGATCCTGCTTCCTGCTGGCCGTTCTCTACCCGCTGAGTCACTCGCAAAAGAAAACAAAGGGGCGATGGAGAGAAAAGAAATCACCGCTGCGCTGCGTGCTGCAGCACGGCACTGGAGGAAGGCGGAGGGAAAAGGCGGCGGTGATTGTGCGGGCGACCAAAGTGCTGGCTGCCCGCAGAGTCCCTGGCGGCTTCGCGACCGGTTTCCCACGCACGCTGTGGCCTGTGACTGCCGGACTTCCAGCCGAAGTCTTCTCAAAGACGCTGCTGCACGGGATTTCCTTGCTTGTGTGCTCTTGCGCCGTCGTCTTTTGGACCAAAGCGCCCAAGACCTAGGAACGGACGTTAGAAAAAACCCAAACCCCCCAGCCGTTGGCATGGCCGTGGCCTCTGCTCGTTCTTTGCTATCCACCCGGTCCGTTCATCTGCTCCACCCGTAGTCGCCGGCCACTTTTCTTCTTGGGACTGCGGATCAAGCTGATCAACGCCTCTTGACCCTCGCCAATACAAGTAGGCAAGTTCGCGCACAGAACAGCTGGCTAAGATTGCCCGCGACATCGGAGCCATCCTCCTTGCTGGCCTGGCTGCCACCAACTCAAAATCGCACCGCCTACCAACTAAATCGCCGTCACCCACGCTCGCGCAAGCTCGCTCGCTCAGAACTGAGGAGGCTAACGCTCTAGCCGAATCCTGGGCTTCCGGCTCCGGCGGCCGCATGAAATCCGAGCGATGATGAGCGTGCTAAGTTCGCCCTCGCCTACCCTCTCTCCCAACCCGGGCTTTGCGCACGATCAGCCGCACCACAATCATCATCACCATCACCAGCGCTCTTCGTTCGCAAGCCTGCGACGGTCTACTAGCTCCTCTCATCGCTCCTACCGCCTGTCCCCCTCGTCGAGCCAGGCCTTTCCCACCAGTCATGCGTCGAGCCCGGCGTCGTCGATCCACAGTTCCGCCACCTCCAACCTTCCAACAAGCATCGAACTCACGCCCACGTCTGCTCCCAAGCGGCGCGCCGTCGACGAAGGCGGCAGGGGCTACGCGCTGAGCAAACCGCAGACTGTCGACGCTGGCACACAATACTCCCCTACCGACTACCCGCCCACTGCCCACCTGCGTAGACCCGCTATGGCGTGTCTGTCGAGAGGGCAGGACGCGCAAGTTCACACGACGGCAACTGATACGGCTCGTAATGTCGGCGTTGGCGGCAGTGGCAGCGAGGATGTCGACCTTGTTAATGAGCGGCTTGAGCGAACAGAGTCCTGCACCCCGCCGGAACCGTCTTTGAGGCAGGATCCGCGGCCACACACGCCAACAGCCGCTTCCTCAAGCTCGGCCAGTGTGAGTGTCGCGTCTTCGACTTCCAACGATCTCGACTCGCCCACCAAGAAACCTCGAGGTGAGACATCGGTCAAGGTTATGCCGCTGGACTATATGAAGTGCGACGTTCGTGACTTGGGCATCGTCATTTCGGACATGCTGATGGAACTCATTCGCATCAATGATCCATTGCCGGTCAGAAATGAGCAATTGACGAGGTATCACTCTAGGTATGGCCACCATCATCTGTTATTCTCCTCCGGATTGTCGTTTGTTCCGCTACATACGCCTACCGTCTATCGTTCGTACAGGAGAAGAAGGAACCGGTCATGGATGTACTTTGGAAGGCAAGATTGCTAACTTTGTGCTGCAGAGCACCACCAGGCATTTCCGTGCACGATTATCTAACTCGACTCATCGTGCACGCCACGCTTTCACCACCCATTCTTCTCTCTCTCGTTTACTACATTGACAAGCTCTCTGCGTTGTACCCAATCTTCAACATCAGCTCTCTGACAGTACACCGCTACCTCATCACGGCTGCGACTGTCGCTGCGAAAGGTTTGAGTGACAGCTTCTGGACCAATAACACATACGCGCGTGTCGGAGGTATAAGCGTTCGCGAGCTGGCGCTGTTAGAGCTTGATTTCCTCGAGCGAATGGACTGGAGAATTGTACCTCCCGCGGATATTCTGGTGGACTATTATAGGAACCTAGTCGAGCGCAACGACAATTATGCGCTCGAGCGGCAGTCCGATAATAGCATGCATGGCTGATGGAAATATACCTTGATCCATCTTTGGCGATTCTGAGCCAGAGAATCACGCGATCGTTCCACATACAAGCCTCCTTCTACCAGCAGAAGAGCAATGGGCTTTGCCTTGTTTTGCCTTTGAAGCGAAAGGCCAAACTGCAAAATCCGACTAATCAAAGCACCGGCTGAAGTCGCGCCATTGCCAGTGACAATTTCGTTCAAGTGGCTCACAGCGTGAGGTAAGACAAGGAACAACGGTTTGACGAAGTAGTCTTGGTTGTACCGGACTGCCCGGGATAGCTGGGTCAAGACGGTGCAGAGGTCCAGAAATTCCTTCGCTTTACCGTGGCCACATTTCTCGTGCGGTGGGCGGTCACGCTAAGGTCAGAAGCATTTCTCCAATCGTTCCGAAGAGGCTCTTAGTCTCTGGAAGGACATTGTCGTTGCCAAGTGACCCAAATTGAAATGGGTATCGGGATCATGCGCAAGCCGAAAGCGAGCTGCAGATATTTCACAATGGCAAACTTATCGAACCATCCACGATGGCAAGAGAGCAGACGGAGGAAGTATGTGGACAAGGTGTGATGTCCAGAGACAGGAAGTCAGTGTTATCGCATAATTCTTGCCCCTGTGCAAGGCAATTGTTGCAATGAACTTTGCATATGTCTGGCGACTAGAACCTTTGTAGAATCTGGCAACGGACACAGAGTAGAGGCGTTTGGATTGGCGGGATCGAGACTCAGATTCGTTGGGCTACGAATGACAGCGTTTGTGTCGCATGGGCTGGACCATCGCTGGACTTGCAAGGCTCCTGTGGAGCCTTGTTCAACCTTTTACGAGGCGGAGGATTGCTTTCAATACAAGTTGAACGTCAAGGAATATTGAATACCCTAGGCTGGACGCTAACGAAAGATTATGGCTAATGGAAGAGTTTCCTATCAGAGCTAGTCGCTGATGTTCACATCTTCATCCTCATACTCGAAAACTACATCCAATCACAGGTAAAGGCCAAGATGAATTTCAGTTTGACGATTTAGAATGTTCAGTTCTAGTCGTCGCCACGAACATATATGCATCATGATTAGATGCATGATTAAGCAAATACGCTTGGGAAGATCTGCTCAGATAGAGAGAAAATCAATCTTTAATTAATAGGACAACATGCTTTCAGCGTCACATCTACATGGATGGCGAGGTACTTGCCGGGCATTCAGCTCCCTAACATGCTGACCTTGCATATGACTTACAGGGCGAGAAACTACGTCGGACGATGCGTGGAGGTGAAGCGGAAATAGGGACAAGGAACACAGTGTTGGTTTAAAACAAGTCTGGGTTCCTGTCAAACAGTACAGGACAAATAAGCACAACACTTTAAGCAGCGATAACGTCTTGCGAGCATTTATCGTCTCGCGGCTGCTTTCGGGCCCAAGGGTAAAGAAGAAAAGAGGAAAGGAAAGGCGAAAAAGGACCACAGCCAAATCTTAGCTTGGGCTTGTGCAGAAACACGAGGAAGAAATCTTGCTGCCCGTTCGCGAATGGACGCTATCGTCGAGCGAGCTGGATCTTTAACTCTGTCACGACACGAGGACAGATATCAGGTACGTTGTTCTACGGCTCACGCGCTAACACAATACAGTCACTTACAAAGAATATGTGACGCATAGACTCCCTTAGAAACATGATGCTCAGTTACCAGGAATGTTACATAGGACAACATACTACCGTCTTATGCTACTGTCTTCTAGTACCTTCTCTTTCTTATCCTCAACTTTACACAGGGGTCGGTATGTCGGTTGATCGATTCTAAATTCTTGGCAGATGAAGCCTTTGCCTCGTTAGTAACTGGCTGGCCGAACTTGTTAACCTGAAGGAGCGAAAAGCTTGGGTGATCTAAGGTGTCATATCTACCCTTTCTCGAGCCCACGCGCTTTATCTCCGCCAAACCATTTCAAGGTGGCCTAGGCTCTGGACAGGAATGTTAAGCAGCCGCAGCTGCGATACTCAAGCCGTTTAGCCGTCCTTCGTTCTTCCAGTCGTCTAGTGTCATCATCTGTCATGATTGCTCAAGTATTAGCCAGTGCTTGGACATGTGTGTACCCATAGCACAAGTATTTAACAACGGCTAAACAAGAAGATTTAAGCAAAGAAGGGTAGTTAGAAAAAAAACCGAGAAACTAAACGTTGAGATGGGCGGGGGAAATGGCTCACATAGTGATTCACACCCCTGCCCCACAGTCCAGATCGTACAATTTTGGCCAGCGCTTCTGGCGGCGCTGTCTGCATCATTTTGTCTAGGCCACCTTCGCTGTTTAGATAGCTTGGTGTGCAGCCGCCCATGCCCGCCAAACCGACCGAGTATGTGGCAACGAGATCACCCCATGCCTGCTCAGCCAGCTGGGTTGACTCAATCAGCGCGCCAGCGCCATGTCTCTGCTGTGCTGTGCTCAATATGTACGCCACATGTCTAGCGAACACGTCGGCGTTGTACACCACGTTACCAGACAAAGACGCCTGCGCAATCCCACTGAAGAACAGGTTGGGGAACCCTGCCCGCATCAGCCCGTGCAGCGTACTGACTTCGTCGTCAAATGCCTTGCCCATGTCAATCCCGTCGCGGCCCGTGATACGCACGTCAAACCGTGCCGTTGGCGCTGGACCCCTCGTCTTGTAACCCGTGCTGAGCACCAGGCAGTCGACCGCATATTCTTTCCCCGCCACTATGAAACCCGTCTCCGTAAATGAGTCTACACCATGGCCGTCCGTGTCTACGAGCGTCACGTTGGGCCGATTGAATGCCGGCAGGTACTCGTCATGAAAGCACGGCCGCTTGCACCACGTCGGATACCAATGCTTAAGCTTCTCCGCTGTCGCTCTGTCTTTGACGGTCTCTTCAACCCGTTGCCGGATTCGCTCTGCACGAGGCACATCCTGCACGTGCAGGTCATGGACGTACTTGGGAACCTCTTCAGGCGCCAGCACGCCGTCGTAACCCCACGCGGTGCAGTACGAGGGGTTGCCTATCGTCCACTGGTCCGCGACTAGATTATCCTTGGGTGGGGGATTCTTCTGGCCTAATATGTCTGCGTAGTTTGCGTTTCGAGCTCTCCACCAGCCTTTCTGCGACGTCATCTCCTTCCACCATGTGGAGTCCGTTTCGCGCTGCCCGCGAATGTCGACCGACGACGGCGTGCGTTGCACAACGTATAGATGCTTAGCATACTTGGCTAGTTCAGGCACCGTTTGGACGGCTGTAGCGCCAGTTCCAATGATGGCTACAACCTTATCTTTGAGTTTGTCCATGGCCGGCTTGTTGTCTTCCGAGGTGCCGCCAGTATACTCGTAATCCCAGCGTGACGTGTGGAACATATGCCTGTCGAATCTATCAAGCCCTTTCACAATGGGAACCTTTGGATGGGTAAGCTGACCGCCACCAAGCAACACGTACTTGGCTCGTATAGTTTGGTCAAGGTCCTTTCGATCGCGCGTTGTGAATTGGGTGTGCACAATCCATTCTGCTTTTGAATTATCCCACTCCATTGACTGCGTGTGCTGTCGAAAAATGGTTCGGGAGCGTAGATTCCACATGTCTGCTATGCGCTCGGCATGACCGCGTAACTCTGGACCATATGAGTACTTGTGCTTGGGCATGTATCCAGTCTCCTCGAGAAGTGGCATGTAGATGTAACCTTCGACATCGCACATGATGCCCGGATATCTGGTTTAAAGAAAGGAGTACGAAGTCAGCGTTGTCTAGAAACATCAAATAGCACGTTGCTAAAGTACCTATTCCAGTACCATACGCCGCCATATCCGCCTGCAGCGTCGACAAGGACAAGTTCCTCCGGTTTCACGCCTGTCTCGATTAAGCGGACAGCGAAAAGAAGCCCGCTGAATCCAGCGCCCACAATAAGGTACTTGATCGTGTTTGAAATATCAACCGATAACTCTGTGTGGTCGTCCGGCCGAATCCAAGGATCCTTCTGGATCCATGCCCACTTGTCAGACGTTACCGTATCAATCCACTGCTCCTCCCCCTCTGGTCGCTCCTGTAGTCGCTTATCGCGTTCAGCGACATAGCGAGCCTCGACCTCCGCTATGCGAGCCGCGTCGATTGACGCCATGGCTGTTGTAGTCTAGAGAGTTCAGTACCCCACTCTTCAGTATATATTTGTGTATGTGTGGCAAATTAGTAGATTATAAGGGAAGCAAGATCACGCCTGCAAGCGATAAAGAAACTCCAGGTTCCAAAATTCGCGAGCGCTAAAGCCCAGTGTTGTGCCGTACACAGCCGGTCACAGTCAGCAGCATAGTCTATTTATAGGTCGTCTGGGCCAGTATGTCTAGATCCCTTCTCGACTCGACTAGGAGGACCTGAAAACGATTCATGCCCGAGAGTACGAACAAGGTGAAAAAGGTATGCAGGCGTAGGTCGCCTACTCTGCGTGGGCAATGTGCTCTGAAGAGCACCCGCAGATTCGGTCATCTCCTTTCCGCTCAATGACTGGCGAAGAGGAGCTGAGGTCCGTACTGCCCCGCTAGCCAGAACCGAGGTTCATGGTCGTCGACTCCAGGTCCAACGACATCAGAGCACATTGAGTCTCGCTATGTGGTGTATGACTTTTCGCTCTATGTGCATGCCGTCACCTCTGTCTTGCTATTTTCGGAGATGTATGCCTCTGTCACAAATGTGCAAAGGAAGGCTCTACAGACCAGGCATCGGCCACCAACAAATCGACCCATCTCTTGGCAGTGTGCCGAGAGCAAATACTGGTGAACGCTATGAGCCGACCCGCTTGTCTGACTTGTTTGATGCTATGTGAAGTATTTATGCGGCTGGCCCCTTCTGGTGCAGTACAAGTCCATTGAGGCATACTGACAGCATTTCGACTGGGACAAAAGCAAAAACAAAGCAGGAACGCTTTGAATGTTTCCGCCGATGCAAGAGATCCTGACTTGGTACCTACGCAGCTCAACAGGTCTTCATGGTTTTCTTCCAGCGTGGTGGCAGAAGTGCTTAATACTAGTATCTCTCGATGCGTTCGGAAAACACAGCCAACAGGCGTTTTAGCGATCCACCTATTGAACAAGTACGTGATCAATCATGCAAATAGGATGGCATGAAGCAAGGCATATGGGATTTCGTGGGTGTCGACAGAATGCTCCGTTCTGGCGGAGAGAATGCGCGAGAGAAGGACGACGAGTTTGCAAGCCATGTACGGATGAGAGCGCCACCTGGCCTGCTCGCGCAGTCCGCCGGTCTTGGGCATCGGCCGCCCACTGCGTCTGGCTTCGGACGATGCGCAGGCGTGCCTGGCCGGGCTGACGGGGAGAGCGCCCTGGACGTCGGCGGCCTGCAGCGTCTCACGCGCTCCAGCCCGGCGCTGATCCTGTCCCGCTCGCTGCACAGGTCCTGTTGTGTGGGCCTGCTAGACCTACTTGTAGTTCTGGTGCACAAGCGCCAGAGCCGGAGCTCAGTTGGGGTCGGGCCGGGCTGGCAAAGTGAGAGCAAGGTTGCCGCAACGAGCCAGCTGGACTCTGGTTCACGGCTGTATCTGCACCCCACATCACGACGTCGCTCCGTCACGTTCGCCTTACCTTACCTGCCGCACCTGTCCACGGGCCTCTTCCTCACTCCCCCGTCCTCTCTTTGCTCCCATTGCGAGCCCTCTTCGTCCCTCTCGTTGTGCCTCCGACCATCCACTTGCCTTTCCTTCCTTCCGTTCTTCCTTTCTTGCTTCGTTCCTTGTCGCCTCCTCCCGTGTCTCTGCCATCTCCCTCCCCTCGCACGGCCTGCTTCCGGAGAACGGGTCTGTGTTGCTGCTACCGTCCATTTGGCTAATGGCCATATTCAGCGACAGGCCTGCTCCCGCTTCGTCCAGAAGATACTCACCCCAGTACGATGCTCACCACCTCTGTGACGCCGGCCTAGTACCTCCGCCCAAGCACAGCGCACACACTGCCATGGATCCTGATCCACGTCAACGGAACGGCCGTGTCGCAGGTCTAGACGAAGCCTGGCGATACCAACAGCAGCCAAATTTACAGAAACACCACTACGAGCATTCTCCAGTTCATATTTCTATGCCACGTAATGGTGTTGTTCCTCCACCTGCTCCTAATCCCCCACGAGTCCGCCACGACGCGGGTTATGAGCAGGCAGTCCGGCGCTCACCCCAACAAAGGGTCGTCTCGAACCCGGCTGGTGTATATCGGTCAGGCTACCCATCTCCAGCGTCCCTGCCTAGCCACTCGCGCTCGTACTCTGGCCCGGGCTCGCGGCCGTCGTCAAGCCACGCCAGTGATGGACCGCCGCTCGCACCACCTCCGCCGCTGTCCTTCCTTTCACACGTGCGAAATCAGAGACGGAGGAGCTCGAATACAAGAGACGGACAGCCCAAGGTGCTCTCCCGTCGAAGCAAACTATGGCCGCCAGAGGGCTATCACAAGCGCGATGGGCTGACGCTCAAAGAGGCAGAGAAGCTGATTACGCGAGGCGCCTCGACATTTACGGGATATGCCCATAACATCAAGCACGCTCCCGAAGGCCACTTTAGGTTTTTCGCCGTCATGGACGAGGAAAGCGGCACACGGACAGACCGGGCCACCTTTGATCACGCATCTTTCGAGAGTATCACTCTGTCCATGCACGGAGCGCCTAGCAGCCGCTTCCCTTGGATGTCCCTCGAGCAGCCGAGCATGGCCTTTGCATTTGGCAAATCTCCTGGCACGACTACACTGACTTATTACATTGGAAAGTCCGGTAGCCTGCAACCTCCCGTGGCTTTCGGCTCCAAGGTAAAACCCCGCAAGATGAAGCTTATTAATATTCTTGAACGGTTGCGCGACCTCCAGATGCAAGGTTTGCAGGATGAAGAGAATTTCGTGCAGACGTACCACTTCCTGTACGAGAAGCTGATTGAGGATCCGGATCGCGAGGATAGTCCGCACTATGAGCGCGCCTTACAGATCGCTGATTTGATCACGGTTCTAAGCAACCCTGACTGGATTGATTTTAGCTTGCCACGGTATCAGGTCGTGGCCAAGTTTTTCGACAGCCATGACGAAAAGATCAGACGCCGGTTTTTCCACCAGCTCCTGCTTGCGACGGAGCTGTACCTACGTATCGAGGCGCCAGTGCACGAGGAGAGAGCAAAGGCGCTCCTGCTAGAGCAGATTCCGCCAAAGGTGGCCTGGGACTTGGCGCTCGCCCGCCGCTGGTTGGAGCACATGTCCATCGAGCGCATGGCTCTGTCAGAGACGCAGTCCACCTTCTCATTCACACTAATGAGTAAGAGGCAACAGAAGGAAGCCCTGTGGCACTTTGCGCAGCTACTCAAGTGGCCAAATCTGGGAGAACTAAACTACATTCTTGAAGAGAAAGACGCGTATGAGAAGTCAATTGAGGACCGTTCCGCTGATGCCTTGTCCTGGTTCACTGGCGTGGTTCTCCCTGGGCCCACACTGCCGTGGTTGCTAATGAACACACTCATTGACTGCGATCGTGACACAGGCGACGAATTGACAACTCTCACACACATTCACCCTAACTCTGGATTTCAGTATCGTGCAAACACGTACTGGTCCACGCAGTGCATCGTGGGAAAGGTGCTGGGGGCCAGCCGCGGCGTTCGACAGGCCGCCGGCTGGATCGGCCCATGCTATTACACACCCGAGCTCGAGCGCGCTCAATGCGTTGTCGTTCGGCAGTTGGAGCCGCTAGATCGCCTGCTCACAAGCTACGACGTGAACTCTATGCACGAGCGCACCGCACCCCTAGGCCCAGATGCTGACAAGTATCCTGTCGGCGACTACGACTTAATCGTGCCAAATACTAATGTTGTTGAGGATATTATCCGTATACAAAAGCTCAGCTTCAACCCTCGTATCCCCAACAATCCAAACAGGGTGGTCTCGCAGTCCTGCGATGAATGCCGGAGTGGCAGTAAGGTCTTTGATGCGGCAATTGTGTTTGCCTTCGCTGAGAAAAGCCTGCCAATTCGTCTCCGCTACAACGTCGACTTTGTCATGGCGTTCCCCTGCGCGTATGGTCCCCATCCATTATACCACGAATACAAACATCGCATCATCCGTGTCGACGACGGCCTCGCTGAGCTGACAAACTGGCCCGCGCGTAATGGACTCTCGCGCACGAGCGCGCGTGCTTCGAGGTCTAGGAAGGTGTCACCGACTGTAGAAGGCGATGATGCAAACGACCGTTTGTTGGTCTCCCGGGCAGATATGGCGCTTTCTTTGAACCAGCCAGAACCGCGAATTGGAGACGATAGTTCCTCCACCTCGACACCCAGTGACGAGAACGGTTTGGTGCGCGAGGTACTCGTCATCGAAGCCTTCGGAGTCAGCGATAACGAGGTGTTTGCCCGCGCATGGTGTGCGCAGTACGGTGTTGGGGCCGTCATAGCCAACGTGCGGGAAACATGCGTCGCGTGTGCCGTGAGGGAGGCTTTCGCAGCTGGGCTAACGGTTACGATTCTCACTGAAGGGGGTTCAGAGAAGGAAGAGGATCGGGTTACCATGTGAGCTGTACTTCTTTATGAACTTCTCGTGGCGAGAACGCTGCATTTCTTTATGACACAGCAGCACAGGGAACCCTTTTATGAGGCCGAGCTTCTATGACCTTGAAAATTGTTGACGGTCTTAATGTGTATAATAACGAGACTGACGCATTATGATAATGGTTCGAGAAGGTCCTTGACTTTCCTTTCCTCTTCTTTTCTTTTCTTTTCTTTTCTTTTCTTTTTTTTCTTTTTTTTTCTTTTTTTAAAAAAAATGTGACACAAATTCCTTCATATCCTTTATTATAAGCGAAAGTATATGTGTAACCACCTAGTCATCCCTACTCTTTACTGATAAAGAAGCTGCCTCAGACAAGTCTGCTTATACTTGTGTTCTCCGATCCATTCGGACATGCACGCTATTCAAGTAATAAGCTCGTGATTGTCTTGGAATGGCCTTGTCCTTGTTCTCCGTATAGTCCATTTGGCCTCTGTTTGGTTCGAGCACGACAGACAGCCTTTCACCAGCGTGCTCTGCCTATCCCGGTTTCCGGACGAAAGGTCCATAACTTGAGCCACTCCTCGTATTTTGTTTCCAAAATGCGAACGACAGCATCTGCCTTAGGATATGCTTTCTTCTTAGACCTCGCGCGAGCCTTCCCTCCAGTGTTTCTGACCTTGGTTGTACGCACCACTATCATCTCTCTATTGGTTATCGCGGCTGCAAATTTGATGAAATCGTTCTTGGTCTTGGACACAGGCAACCTTGTCAGTTCTGGTGTCAAGTGTCTACGTGTCACGCTGCAACGGTCTTCAACACTTGGAGGATCTTCCGAACTATCGCTTTCTCTCCGAATGTTTGCCGAAGATTTTTTTTCATCTAAGTTGATTTTTTTCATCTAAATTGATTTGATTTCAAATGCCACTTCTAGCTGAACAAAAAGTGCCATAATGGGTGGACTACATCACACGCTTGTATGACGTGAATTCTCATGGAAGTGTTTTGTCTTTGAATTCACTAAACAATTGCCCACCCTGTAAAAACAACGATATTGTATGACCCGACATGATCAGTTATTCTTTTTCTCCTTTGCCCTGGAGCTAGTCAATTGCAATCATAACTTTTCCTGGTCTGCAGTGACGCAAGGGCCTCAAAATAGAACAAAACAATCGGCCGAAGCTAAAACCGGGAATGGCAATGAGCAATAGACTGATTGGCGAGACCTCGGAAGGGAAAGCGAAAGGATGAAGAAGGCCAAAGAGCTCTACAAACGCGGAGCAAGGTCACCTTCAAAAAAATTTTCCCCAAGTTCGACAAGCCGAGCGCGCATGCGAAGTGGCCGTCAACGGGTACCGAGCAGGCGTTGCGAGAAGCGCTGGTTGTCAGCTGCGAAAGTCCTGTCGCGAACGTGGCAGGCCTCGCTGTGGACTGTGGACGGATAGCCGCTGGCAAACCCGTTTCCTAAAGTCTTGGGGACTGGCCGGAGCGCAAACCGCCCTTTGGGGGCGTGACGCGGTTCTAGGCTGTCTCCTCCGTCGGCACCGAAGCTTCAAGGCAGCTCTCGTCGCGAGAGGGGGGCTGGCAAGTGAGGTGGAAAGTGTTGCGGGAATCTTGGTGGGGGCAGAGGGAAGGGATGTCTGCGATGGCGACGCTTGAGTGATCGAGGGTTGGCTGTCGACGGGTCCCGCCGTCGGTGGACTTTGTTGGATTTGCGACATAGCCACGACGGACCGGCCATGGTGTTGACACGCTGCTCTGCTTCGGCGGAGCGAGTGCGGCTCTTGTACGTACTGAGCGCGGCCGTTTCCTGCGAGGCGG